TATATAATACATAAAACATGCAAAATATGTGTTAATCATCTGTCATTGTTATCAGTAAGACTTCTGGCCAGCAGGAGGCTATTACTAGCTAAGTTTTGAGGAAGTCAGAAGTTAGAAAATTTTCAACTGTAATGGGGGTCAGCACCCAAGCCCTATGTTGTTCAAGGGTCAGCTGTATATGGGAGGGGGTATGTAGGTTATATGCAAATACTATGCCATTTTATATAAGGGACTTGAGCGTCTGTGGAATTTGGTATCCTTGGGGGTTCCTGGAACCAATCTCCCTTGGATACCAAGAGACAGACTGCACAGTACTTGTCTCTCTGTTGAAAATTAAGCAGCAGCTACTTTCAAACAAAGAAAGCAAAATAGGCAAAATCCTTCTTAAGATTTTCCTTCCTCATTTAATCACATTATAATTCTTTATCAGAGTTTCCTCTGACTAGATCTGATGTGATGTCTTTCTCATTCCATTAAACATTGGCAGAGAAAGCAGTGGTCTGGTGAGAACCTGGAATGGGGGGAATGGCACCTCTGTGTGGGGATATCCATACTAGATTATGTTCTCAAGAAAAAGCATACTAGAAAAAAAAATCTGCTTTGTTGGCCCTTTATGAAGGACCTTAATTAGAAGTCACTCTTAACTGCTGGGGTGAGAAGGGTTTCCAGCTTGGCACCTCCTCCTGCTGCTAACGAGCATGCTCCTTGCAAGGACTTGCTGCTTCTGACAGTTAAAGCTGCATGTAAGAATTACTTCTCTTCACCTCTCCCTCCATATTTAACCGCTACTGCCCAAGTTCAGAGTACGCAGGTAAACATTCGATGTTTTTGGGAAATTGGCAGTGCTTCAGGGTAACATTTGTGAGCAAAAGTAAATCATCATAGTTGAATTTATTCAAATATAGGCAGTAGATGGTTCCTTTAATGTCAGCCATGTTTGGATCTTTTTTTTTCCCTGATAGTCTTTTTCTAATTGACATAAATTTATAAATGAATAGTTGAATTATTTAGTTTATTATCATGTCATTAGAACGCCTACCCTGGACATCTGTTTCTCTTATTTAAGCAACTCACCCCATGGCACAAGGTTTCATTAAGTATTTAGCAGAGAAAGTGTAAATTTCTTACGCAGGTGAGGATGATCCTGTAGGTTACTGTTGATATTTCATTAGCTTTTCAGTAAAACACTAAGTGGACTTGTGAGAAAATGCCAAAGAATGGTTTGCTTCTCCAAAAAAATTGCATGTATATAGTCACCTTTCTGGACAATAGCATGTGGAGGATGATGAGCAGTTTTGGAAGCTTATTTGCCTTCCCTCTTTGTGGGAGGGAGCATTAGAGAGCATCTAACAGATCATCAACTAGGGAAGAGTAAGTGGGCATATTTCAGAGTTTCAAAGGTGTGGATCTCTTATTAGGGAATAGAGGTCCTTGATTCTAAAACATAACACACTCTGTTAGACATTTCTTCTGCCTTAGTTTAGAATCACCTAGGACTGCCTCCTGTGGCTCAGACTTTCTATACATGGATGCTTTTGGTCATAGACTTGTACAGATGCTGGGACATTGATTGTCAGAGGACTGACTAGGGCTCAATGGTGTTCTTTTAGGATGGCCAGTATATTGTATCCAGAAGCTGTGGTAGCATCAGAAACCTCCTTTAGGACTCACTGTTCAAGAATATTCAATGCCTGCTGCCTTCAGAACAAATAACTCATTGTCTTCATATGAATGTGGAGTAGATCAAGGAAAATCTCAACATGGGACCATGTAGACATTCCTTAGTGTTGCTATTGAATGCCCATTGGTCAGATGAGATGGGGAATTAAGAGAAAAAGAAGTCAAGACTGGACAGGCCTCCTGATTTTGTAGGGGAGGGGGTCCCATCAAAGTGGGTTGTTTGGTGATGACTGATGATTGTGATATGATGTAAATATGAATTCCTCAGCCATAGGACTCATGTATTTTAAAAAAATATTTTCTTTACATACCTAACTGCCTTACTTATTTGGACATAGTTAGCTTAAGGATAACATTGCCACACTGAAATTCTTTTTGTTTTTTCTTTATTTTTTCCCCCAGCTTCATTGCCACACTGAAATTAAATTATCTTCTTACAGCAAAGGTTTGTTTTAGAAATGGAGGTGGGTGCTTTGCAGACAGATAGCATGTTTGCCAGTTTGAGATAGAGCCATGTAGAAAGAGCTCTAAATGTGAACTCTGCATATTCAGACACAGTGATGTGAAAGAAAGGGGCTCAGGGTCTGAGCAGTCTTTTGTTACCTTACAGATACGCTGGCATTCTGCCAAGGCCCTCCAGATTTTAACCATATTAATAATGAAAAGACCTCAACTGCCTCCCCATCTTGTGCTGACACGTGCCTTCTAGTGGGAGTAACTTCCTATAAGGATGCTCTGAATTTAGGACTTTGTTTCACAAAAAAACATTTTTTGTTACAGTTTTTACTCTAGAATTTTCTTGTTACCCCACCCCCAAATGTCCAAATAGGGTTATTAATACAAATAGAGCCATTACTGATTTGTGTAAAAGGACCTCCACCCCGAGAGCAGTGTGGATCATACAAGGTGAATGTCTTTCCACTGACTGCTTTGTAATAATTTACATTTAAATTGTTGCGTGTTGCTCTTGTAGAAGAAGGGAGAGGGCCTGCCCTGTGTGTGGCCACCTTAGTCACCACACTGACTGGGTCTAGACGGCTTTACTCAGCAGAGCTGGGAAATAGGCTGAACTTGCTTTCAGTTGTTTTCATCAGAGGCCTTATTTAGTTGGTTTGTGTTGGGGCACAGTGTCATGTAGGACTGGACGAATTAAATGAGATGAAAAATGAAGTCTGTAGTTGCTAAGAATGGTGCAGGGCCTCCATATGCCAGTACAGCGCAGCGAGGCTGGGGGACCAAGATGGTCGCTGGACCATCTTGGGTGAAGTGCTGCGTCTGCCTCACACACAGGGAGGCTAGGAAGAGGCATACGGACAGCATTGACTAAAATACATCCTATGGGCTGTGGCTTCTCAGTAGAGCCACTTTAAGTAGAACATGACTGCCTAGAAGACAAATTCATTCATTCAGGAAATACTTATTGAGCCATAGGCATGGAGGGCACATCAGTGAACAAAGCAGGTGAAGTTTTCCGCCCTCTTGTAGTTTACGTTCTTTTAGGGCATAATGTTAAAGGTAAGTGCTATGGAAGAATAAAAGACAGGGAAACAAAGAAGGGCAAGTGCTAGGAATGTGGATTTGATGACCTAGAAGCGATGATCAGGGAAAAACCTTCAATGAAAATGTGACTTTGGAGCAAGGATACAGAAGAGATAAGATCCCATGTAGATCTGGGTGAAGAGTGTTTCCAACAGAGGGAACAGAAGGTACAAAGTCCCACAGGTAGGAGACAGTAGTAGCGTAGATAAGCAAGGAAGGAAAGCAGCAGGAGCTGGGCAGGGGGCAAGTCATGCAGGGCATTCAAGAGTCAAACTAAGTATCTGGACTTTTACTTTGGAAAAGGAAGCTATTAGAGGGTTTTAAGCAGGGAAGTAACATGATTCTAACTTGATTTTTTAAATTGTTTTTTCAAACGGAGTCTTGCTCTGTCTCCAGGCTGGAGTGCAGTGGCACAATCTTGGCTCACTGCATCCTCTGCCTCCTGGGTTCAAGTGATTCTCCTGCCCCAGCCTCCTGAGGCATGTGCCACCACGTCCGAGCAATTTTTTGTATTTTTTTTTTTTTAGCAGAGATGGAGTTTCACTGTGTTAGCCAGGATGGTCTCAATCTCCTGACCTTGTGATCCACCTGCCTCGGCTACCCAAAGTGTTGAGATTACAGGCATGAGCCACTGTGCCCGACCAATTCTAACTTGATTTTTAACAGAGTCACGTGGCTGCTACGTGGAGAATAGACTGTAGAGACAAGGGAGTGAGCAGAGAGACAGTTAAGAGGCTCTTGTAGTATGCTTGATGAGTTGGTGATGGCTTAGACCAAGGTGGGGGTGACAGGGGTGAGAAGGTGTGGCATCTGGATCATTTTGAAGAAGACCATTTAGGAGATTCCCTTCTAGAGGTAATTTAGCACAAACAACTTTGGAACTTGGTAAGAGATACATCCTGGGTATGCAGGCAGCTATTTCAGGAATACAGAGCCCCAAAGAGCTGCCCAGTTTTTTGAAGGCAAGAGTCATTTACAGCCTTGTCTGTGATAAGAACCTTATTGCATCTTAATTATTTTTTTCAGATTATTCAAGACACAGTTGTCGCACAGTACACCTCCCTCCACCTGCCATTTTGGCTCCACCTCAAGGTGGAGTAGCCAGTGCTGCTCCTGCACCACCCCATGTTGGAGATCATGGAGCAGCTTGCTTGTGCACAGCAGGGGTGCCCCTTCATTCACTCTGAATCAAGTTGAACTAATTGTCAGTGTTATAACTAACTGACTTTTGTGTCTTTAAGAGTAGAAACTTGAGTAATTTTACTGTAAAAGATTACAGATCACTCATGAAACACTGGCTTTGGGAACGAAGTTGTGAAAGCATGGTGATACAGAGATACATTTGATGTAGTCCCATCTCTAAAGAATTACAGTTTACTTGAGGGCAAGTGAATACCCGAGAAAAGATAACTAAACAATACAGGCAGTAAGCATCTAGGTCCCAGCAAGGGGATACAAAGACAGGACCCCATTTTTAGCCGGACTGGCCTCCTCATAGAATCTCAGCTATTTTTAAAAACAACATAGAACTGGTATTTGTTGAGCCACCCTCACCCTCCTCTCCAGCTCAGGCCTAGCTTGTTAGAAGTCAGCACTAAAGGTACATGCTTATCCTGGTTTGTGCAGTATAATCCAAGCAAGTCAGAGCTGGTTCACATGGGTCTGGTTCCTTCCTGGACAAGGGCAGTAGCCGGTCAGGAGAATGCCTAGAAATACATTAATCAGCCGTGCTTGCCAGGCGAAGCACTAATCCTGATCCCCAAATATGTTGTTTTGGTCAGATTCACAGTCTGAGAATGAGGCTTCACCAATAAAACGGCCACGACTACTGGAGAATACTGAACGGTCCGAGGAAACCAGCCGATCTAAACAGAAGAGTCGACGTCGGTGCTTCCAGTGCCAAACCAAACTGGAACTGGTGCAGCAGGAATTGGGATCGTGTCGCTGCGGTAAGCATCTCCCCCAGTGACAGCATGGGGAGACTATGTCCTTAACACCTTGGCCTAGCTTTAGAAATTAAGTGGCTGAAGTCGTTCATTCTTCTTCTGAGTACTGTAGGTTTGCTACAATAGTGCATGCTATATAGCTTTGGGGCTTGAGAAATCGGGAGTGCGGGATGTTTGCTTCTGAACACCCTTTATTCTCACGCGTGCAGAAAAGACAAAAACACCCCCCTCTTCTTATGCATATCTCCTTAGAGCTTCATTTCACTGCTTAGTGCTTTCAGCTTCTCCCCACCACTTATTACTCTGTTTTTTTCTCACTTACAACTTTAGAAGTTTAGCAAACAAGCAAAATTCTGGAATATATACCATAAAATTCAGATATTAACTTTGAATGTGCTTCTTACTGTTTATGATAAATGGAAGATTTCTTCTCCATATCCTTGTTAAATTAAGCTTTGCTTAGAAAATTTCTTTTGAACCTTAGTTCATCAAGTCAGTTGATACCTTGAAATAGTCCCCCTTTTTTTCTCCTGGGCTAAATCCATCCTCCTGTCTCTGCCTCACAAAATGCTGGGATTACGTGTGCGGGCCACCATACCCAGTCTGAAATAGCTTTACAGTAACCTTTCCTCCTGTGTTCTGTAGTGGAATACCACCTTTTAGAATTGCTGCACAGGGATGCCTACCTGCAGTGGAACAAAACTTAAGTCAACCCTTTCTCTCTTCTTGACCACGTGTATCATGACACATAGGAACAAAATTGTATAGCAGCATTATTTTAGGCTGATTTATAGTTTTCCTGTACTTGTTTTCATTTCCTGCTTTTAAAACATAATAATGTAAAATTGAAGACCAATTCAGCTGTCATCAGACTAACTTTGAGACCTGACTCTAGCCTCTGAGAAGCCTATTTCTTTCTTTCTGAGAAGTCAGCTTTAGAAGCCCCCTTTCATTTCCGGGACAGTGAAGATATCCTACAAGTACTATTGCTGGCAGTCAGGACTAAATAGTTCACTCAGCAGTTATCAAGCAACAGTCACTGGAAGTTCACGGTCTTCTGAAGCAGCAGCCTTTGCTGCTACGGTTCTCAATTATCTGCCCTATTGGAAATGAGAAGGAAGAGAGAGGATATTAGCTTTTCATATAAACTGAGTCATGGCACAAAAAAAAAAAAAAATGAACCCGTTTGTTATATATTCTGGTGTATGTGGTACTCCACAAGATTGAAAGTACGTATTCAACTGCAGAAACCGGAACCAGCGTGGGGAGTCCAGATGTCACCAGATAAGGTTTTTCGGGCATTTTGGTTATAGCATTAAGTGTTTTTGGGAAACTGTAAAGAGGGTTAGGATAGGTGGTGGGAACAGAGGCTGACAGCAGTTTTCAGACTTCAGTTGTGTTGATGCATGCAGTATGGCCCAGGTGAGTTCAGAACCTTATTCTTAGGCTATTTTGATCAACCCTGCCAGGCAATTTTAAATTCTTGGTGATGTAGTGCAGGGACACTGTGGTTGGTTAAGGAAACTCTGGGCTCTGTTGGCTAACCAGCTTTGCCCCACACTGAAGAGGCTGTCTCATCTTTTGTGATCTGCAAATTCTTGCTTTGGTCATGTGAACTGTTGGGGAATTTGAGCAGTTCAGTCTGTTACCAGTGTTGTGAGCCTACCTGGTCATCTTAGCTATTGCTTTTGTAACATAGGCCTTTGGTTGTTCCTCAGTTAGAATTGTGGGATTTTCCTGAACCTTCTGTTCTTGTTTCCTCCTTGAAAGTAACTGAATCCTGGGTATTACACAGGATTTGCCGTACTGGATCAAGCAGTTGATCTGTCAAGTATGCTGTCTTGCCCTTGGCAGTGGCTAATGCTTCCTTCTCGTCAGGCAAACAGGAGATTTCACAATTTAGCCCTGAGATCTAAAGACATTGTAACCAGAACTCCCAGTTTACCCTTCAGCTTTGACTCAAACTACCTAATTTCCTAAGGTCTTAGCACCCAGCTGAAAAAAAAAAACAATAGTATATGTTAGATGACTTCACATTCACCCAAGTAAAGCCAACTTGTCTAATCTCTGGTAAATATAGATTACTCTGCAACGTCTTCACCTTGTGAGCAGGAGGCGGAGGAGGTTGCTGCAATATGTGTCCATTTTAAATGTTCTAACATGTAATCTCTTGGCTTGTGCCCAATTCTGAGAGTCTGCTTATAGGGAGATTTGACTTTTTCTGTTGGAGAAGAAAGCCCTGAGCTTACTGCAGTCTCAACAAGGTGTAACTTTCCTAGAGACAGTTGGACATTCAGTTTGACCCACTGAGAGCATTACACTTATGTGTCCAGAAAAGTGACTGCATCAACTGCTACCCTTCGAAAGATGAAGGACAACAGTGGGAACATGCCATTAAAAAAAGTCTGAGACTGTCTTTGATGAATAGCTCTTGCGTTTCTCCTGCCTGCTTGGATATCTCTAGGAAAGGGTGAGTTGTACGGTTATTTCCTTGAGGATACATGGATGTTAGACAGACGTTTAACTGCCCTGAAAGGTTTTAGAAAGGGGATAACAGTAATTTACTATTGAACGTGAAGACTCAAAAAGGTAGTTTGAGCTCAAACAGAACACTTCTTCACTGCAGAAATCTTTTTATACATATATATTTGCAATCTTTTCTTCCATTCGCCTTCCATTCTGTACAGGTTATTAACTGCTGACAAGAAATTCACATCTCATAAATAATGCTTAAGAGCCATTGCTATATAAATTGAATGTGTTATGAATTGTGATGGGCCTTTTTGTAGCATTCGATGCCTAGAGCAGGAAGAACAGAGGATGTCATTTTCATTAATTTCTAATGAGGTGCCAATTAAAGGCAGCGAAGATGCTCCAAAGGGAAGAGTGGCCAAGCTCCCCTGAATCCTTCGCCCCAGGGTTGTCATCTAAACACTGCCAGTGAAGCCTTCTCTAAAAATGCCATTAAATTACAGTCTCATTGAGAGCCCACACAGACACATTCAGCTTCCCTTTGATCTTCAAAAGAGCAATTTGTAAGACGAGTTCTGAGCCTTCTCACATAAGGAATAGCTAGAGGTGATAGGAATTGTTAATTGCCAGGACACTCTATGGGCTTTCAATAAGGAGGAATTTTGAAGAGGAATTCTCCTCTGCTTCACTGTGACTAGATAACCTTTAAGTCAACAATACCAAAATAACAACCTTTTCCTGTGAAATCTTTCAGGGTGCCAATTAGAAAACTCATGTGGTTGCCAGGCTGGGAGGGTATCTGCATCCTAGAGCATCTTCAGTAGTTTAACTTCTTAAGATAGAAAACAATTGCCTGAAAATGGATCTGTTTGTTTCATTTTCTACTAAGTAGGCAAATTGATCACCTCATTCTCATTGCAGGAGTCTTGTCTCCTGAATTGCCACTTAGAGAATGTTCTACTGAAATCTGGCCATCTTCATCAAATCCGGGCTACGTCACAGCCACCAAAATGCTGTCTTCTCTAAGGAGATCTTGCATGATACATGTAGCTTGGCTTCTTTTTTTTATATTTGGAAACAGAGTCTCACTCTGTCGACCAGGCTGAAGTGCAGTGGCGTGTTCTCAGCTCACTGCAACCTCTGCCTCCCGGGTTCCTGCCTCAGCCTCCTGAGTAGCTGGGACTACAGGCGCATGCCACCATGCCCAGCTAAATTTTTTGTATTTTAGTAGAGATGGGGTTTTACCATGTTGCACAGGCTGATCTCGAACTCCTGAGCTCAGGCAATCTGCCTGCCTTGGCCTCTAAAAGTGCTGGGATTACAGGCCTGAGCCACCCTGCCCAGCCTTCTTGGCTTCTTAATCACTGCACAGTGCTTTCTAGAAATGCAGAACTAATTTTTAAATACATTCAAAGAGCGTGTATAAGTTCTAACATTTTCAGTTGATGGTGCCGTAACAAACTAAATGGATATGCTGCCTTTGGGGATAGTAGTGCTTTTACTAACCTCCAGAGTAATCTGACATCCTTTATTGTTTTCAAAGTAAGTTTTCTATTCACTTTAGAAGCCTGAAGTGATGTGTTAGCTGACGCCTTTGGAGTAGTTGATCATCTCCAAGTGCCTCAGTGGCTATTGCTGCCTTGTCATTCACTGTCATACCATATGCAGAAAGCATTTTCTTAGGTTTTTGTGGGGAATATAGGAGCTAGAAATGTAGAATCTAAGAACTTACAGTGTAGATCTGTAGTTTCAAACTTCAGTAGGGGCCTGGTGTGGTGGCTCATGCCTGTAATCCCAACACTTTGGGAGGCCAAAGTGAAAGGATCCCTTGAGGCCAGGAGTTCAAGACCAGCATGTTGCCCGTCTCCATTTTTTGTAGAATTGGGCAACATAGCAAGACCTTGTCTCAGTGAAAAATCATTGCCAGGTGAGATGGTGCACACCTGTAGTCCAGCTACTTGGGAAGCCAAGGTAGATGGCTTTGAGCCCAGGAGTTCGAGGCTGCCATGAGTCTACTATTGCACTGCAGCCTGGGTGACAATGAAAGACCATGTCTCTTAAAAACTAAAAAAAAAAATCAAAAAAAAAAAAAAATCAAAAAACAAAACTTGAGTGAACATCAGAATCTACCTGGAGGGCAAAGTTAAAATACAGATTGTTGGGACCCATCCCCAGAAGTTCTGATCTGAGTTCCCAGGAAATGTTTTCACAGTCTTTGTTTTTTTATGATATTGACATTTTTAAGGAATACAACCTTTTATCCCTCCCCTCACCTACTTTTTTAATAGAAAACTCCTTATTTTGGGTTTTAATAGAGCACTCGTTATTCCGATATTTCTTCATAATCCGACTCAGTCTATGAATTCTCAGCCAAAATACTACACAGATAATCATGTGTCCTTCTCAGGGTTTTATGGGAGGCACAGATCTCCATCAGCCCTCATTGTTGATGTTAATTTTGATACACCCACCTAGTCAAGATATTACCTAGTTTCTCCACTGCGTAGTTACTGTTTTTCCCCTTGCACCTA